AACATGGTGGGAAGCACCACTGTCCAGAAGCCATGCTGGAGTGTTGTTGGCAGCAAAGTGTGCTTTTGGTTGCCATGGTGATAATGAAGGCCCTGCTTTATTTGTGTTGCTAGTTTGATGAACTGGGACTAAGCGAAAGGAAGGACATCGTTTAGCACTGTGTCCCTGAATTCCACATATTTGACAGTAGCCAAGATAAGGCCGTGGAGAAGGCCTAGTACCAAGATTTGTTCCAGCTGTGTTTGCTGGGAAGGGATGAGCATCTGAGGTGGGCGATGGTCGCCTGCCCGTGTTGTTGACATTATAATTGGATGGTGGTTTCCAGCCATTGGTTCCTGATGAGCGCGACCTAGAATTGATTCGGTTTGTTGGGTTCGCAGAGGTAGGAAAATAAGATGGAGCAGATTTATTATCATGAATGGATGCTTCGAATGTTAAGAGCTTTTCATGAAGTTCATCAAATGAAATTGGATTGTCTCGAGCTTGGACAGCACGCACTAACTCTTTGTAATCATCTCCTAGTCCATCAAGAATTTTTTCTGCCAGATCTTCATCATCAATCGGTGCTCCAAGGATGGCCAGTTCGTCAGCACGAGCTTTTACATTTTGAAGAAACTCAGTAACACTTTGGGATCCCATAGTTAGATTTTTAAGATGGCATTTTGCTTGTTTGATACGTCCCCGAGATGGTTTGGCGTAAGTGTTTGCTAAGGTTGTCCAGGCTTCATGGGAGGTTTTTGCTCGGGCAATGAAGGGGATGATGGTGGGGGAAAGAGATCCTACAAGAGCATTTAGGATCAAATGGTCCTGACGAACCCAGAGCATATGTTCGGGATTTGGCAAGATGGTATTGTTTTGAGAGAGAGTTGCAGGTGGGCATGGTTTTGTACCATCAATATAGCCAGTTAGATTGTAGCCTACAAAAAGTGTGTGAAACTGAAGCTTCCATGAGACGTAATTATCTGAGGTGAGTTTGAGTGGGGCTTGAGCTGAAATATTAATGGTGATCAATGTATTATGTGGTTCACTGGTATTGTGAATGAATGGATTGGCAGTTGGGGTTGGATTGGTAGTCATCGTTGTAACAACGTAGGCAGAGATAAGAAGGGAGAAAAAAAATTGAAATGAGGGAGCTGGGAATTAAGAATGCTCTGATACCATAATAGAATTTTGTAATATGAAAGCTACTTCACTGTGTTTATTGATAGAGGTGAATATATATAGGTTACAAATGATTGAATGGATAAACATACAGAGCGTACCTAGGTAACAACAAAACTAACCTATACAAATCCAAATGCAAGATTACACTAATCTATACAAATTCAAATACAGGATAACATAACTAGAATATTGATAAGATTTCTTCTGTTATGTACTTCTTATCGGAATTTGTCCGTTGAGGACCCAAAGCACAGCACTATTAGGTACCTTCTTGTACCAAATTCCCACATACCGATTCTTGGAGTTAACTGGGCTAAAAAATCGTAGTTCAAAGGTTCCTCCTGAAGAAATCAAGGTGCTGTCATCTCTGAGGATCTCACCTGTATTGATGATATCAGTTGCAACCGAATTCTTTAGGATGGACAGAAAGAATGACAGGAAAAGAAGAAGGAGAAAGGCGATATCTTTAATTGATTTCTCCATGGTTCATATCTATGTTTTGCCTTGACTTTGGAACTTCAGCATTCAGTACAGAGGATTCAAATGTGAGGAAACAATATTTCTAACCATCCACATTGCTGACAATTTCTCCATTTGTGATTCCTAAGCTTATTCCAAGCTGACAATAAGTTATAACATTGACTGGGAACGTGTTAATGTTTTTCTTATTAGAGCTAACGTCTGTATTGGCTAAAAATAATAGAATCAGAAAACAATTATACAGATAGTACTAAGAAAGCCAGAAATATTCCTACTTGATAGAGAAAATTGTAGCCGTCGTCCTTAATCTTTGCACCCTTTTCTGATTGAATAATGCTATGTAGAATGAGTGGTGTTTAACACTGGTTAGGTAGCAACATGTGTGACATTTGATAAATTGGACCTATATAAGGATATAGAGCTCATTTAATTGGACCTATCATGTATTGTTATGTAGGTGTTAAAACACTTTTATTGACTTGACTATATCAATGGAATTAGTATAACTTTGCTTCATGCTTGTAAAATTATTTTTTATTCACACATTTTGAGTGAGTTACTAATCTTTAATAAATACTTAGCCCCTATTTGAGACATTTTTTAATTTTTTTAAAATTCATTTTTAACCATACACTTTCCCAATAAAATTAGTTAGTATGTGAACCTAAATCTTTTTCTCACTTTTTAACAACACATTTAAAAATATATATATTTTTTACAAAAACTATTCTCAGAAAATGAGGCTCAAACTGGGCTTATGTCTAGCACTCCTCTTTTTGACAACCATGAATACTAACTCACATGTTTTTGCAATTTTTTTATGAGGAAAATGAAGTAGGGATGGCAACGGGGCGGGTCGAGGTTGGAGCAAGCTCCCCTGCCCCCGCCTCGTTAGGCAATTTTTCGCCCTGTCCTCGGCACATTACCTGTTTAAGGCGACTGGGCGAGGCCCTTGCCCCGTTAAAATTTTTTATAATTCATTTTATTGCATCCATTCATTAGAATGAGACAATAATATATTTTTTTATT